CATCACATTGTTGTTGATATACTAACCTCAATGTTCCACTAAAGGCACAAGCCACAAAAAGTCCTGGAAGTCCTGGCATTGTGGCAAAGAGCTCCATGACAAAATAAGGCATCAGCTAGGGGGAGAGAAAGAGAAAGAAAGAGAAAGGGTGGGGATGGGGAATAATGCTCTTCTCAGCAATATCAGAAATGTGGGAATGTAGCTTTTCTGTAAAAAAAGATTATATATATATATATATATATATTACACTATTTTCTTGACTATTTACTCTGATTGTTAGCAATTAAATCTGAAAAGCAAACCCTTAAAACATGCCTTGATGGCATCCAGATATTATGGTTCCACCTTATACCAGGCTTGTAGCAAAGCAGCCACTCTATGACAAGCAGGATGAATGAACATGCAGGGGAGGAGCAGGAGAGTGATTGTTCCTCCAGAACATATTATCTATACATGGAATTTTAAAAACACATTTAATGTAATATGTTGTCATGATATTTAAGCTATGCTAAGAAGACATGATCAGAAATGCTATGGCAATAAGGGTCATTTTCTTCAACTGACAACCAAAGCCAAATTTACCTTTTTCTCTCCCCAGCTTTAAACTGGTCTCAGGCCTTTATATATTGAAATGTGTTTTATTGATGTTGTGGTTGCTGTTGTTGTTGTTTTGTTTTGTTTCAAYACTCAGTTTGAACCAGGGTATAACAAATTCTAGGCACGTCCTCTACCCCTGAGCTACATTCCCAGCCCTTAGAGGTGTCCTCTTGTTACATGCTCAATTCCCCTTATTGCAACCTGGTGCATGTGACACCATCAACAGCAGAGGAGAGAAGCTAAGTCCTTGGGGTTTGAGAAGTGTCCAGAGGACAAGGCAGAACAGACTATACTTCACCAAMGATGGCCAGAACCTCACTCATTCCRGCTGTTTCCCCCAAGGAAACCATACCTGGTCTGGTGCTGATATCATACCAGAAGTCCAAGGATCACAGTCTTTGAAGTGGGAGTACATGATCAATCCAGAGAAGACAGCACATACCAGAATGATCCAGAGACCCAACAAGTTAAAGTACAAGGCACTAGAAGAGAGCAATGAGCCAACTCGTCACCTCTATGCCATGTCACAGTGTAGAAAGRGCACAACCAAAGACTCTAGGTTAATTTCTGAGGAGTCCTTTAGCTCTCAAGAATCATTCGATTATATACTTTTGCATCTGTGAAAGTGTSTTATATTTTTAGACTACTTAACAAATGTGAATAAGGTAAGATTTTAGATGGATAAATGGAATCTCTTTTAAATTGCAATGGTTCCCCCTCCCACCTTTTGCAAAATCTCAGTATGTGTGGTATGAGATCTATTTTCTTGGATAAAATTCCACATACCAATCTCATTATATAACTTTAAGTGATTTTCCCCCCTACTCAATTCAGAAAACTGTCAAAAAACCAACTTACATTTTAACATCTTTTCTTCCAGAGGGATAATGAGATAATGTAGAAATAGACAAGTTATGGAAATATTCACTTTGGTGATTAATTCAGATGAAAGTTTAAGTTGAATTTTTTAAAGATGCTACAAAGTATGAAAAACTTAACACCCTCTTAACCATACTATTTGGAGCTATTCATCTTATTCTATAAGACACAAGCATGCATAATTCCAGTTGGGAGATTTTGTAGAATCCTATGGTTACTTCATATCCATTCAGTCATTTGAAAGTCAGAAGCTTTCTCATATTCTTTTTTAAATGTTCAAATCATTTTTGTTAGTTTATTTTAATTATAAAGAATGATGGGTTTCATTGTGGCATACTGATGCAGTCATATAACACAATACTATCAATTTTACCCTGGCCTCCCCCCTTTCYTGTTCCCTTTCTTCTACTGTATTGGTGTCCCTTCCATTTTCATGTTATTCCTTTCTTTCCATTCTGGTTCCTACATGTGAAAGAAAACATATGTAWTTCACTTTCTGAATCTAACCCACTTTGCTTAACATGATGCTCTCCAATTCCATCTATCTTTCTGCAAATTATATAATTTCATTCTTCTCTATGGCTGAATAAAATTCCACTGTATATATGTACCACATTTTCTTTATCTATTCATCTATTGACAGATACTTAGGCTGAGGACATAACTTGGCTATTATGAATTGTGCTGTGATAAACATGGGTATGCATATGTCTTTAAAGTCGCTGACTTTAATTCCTTTGGATAAATATCAAGGAGTGGTATAACTGAATCATAGTGATGTTCTGTTTTTATTTTTTT